AAGGGTGGAGGGGGTGAAGGGAGGGCTAGGAATGGGGAAAAAATAAGAACCAAGATGCATTATGTAAAGGTACAATTCCCAATGAGAAATGTAATTATGTTGTATACCTACAATGTACCAACAAAAGAATTCAATACAAGAAAAAAAAAGAAAGAAGCCGCTGGGGTGGGGCAACATCTTGGCTCCTTCTTTGCAACCAGAGACCAATCTCAGTGGGGTTTCTGTGGCCCCACACAGAGCTCAGCTCTCCACCACTCATTCCTCTAATGGTGTCGACACAAGTTTTTTGATGAATCAATAATTTTTGTGTGTGGTTGTTTCTTTGAGATGGGGTCTCCCTGTGTAGTTCAGGCCATCCTGAACTCACTACATAGCCCAGGTTGGCCTCAAACTCATGGTGATCCTCCTGCCTCTCAGTCTGCCAAATCCTGGGAGTGCAGGCATGCACCACCATGACTGGCCCAACAATTTAATTAAATAGAAAGTGTTGCAAGTGATTTCCCACCTCTGTCTTTCACATATGCTGTTGGGGACAATCTTCATCAACCGGAGGCACCAGGTTATCCAGTGACATGGTCCTTCTGAAAAGTAAGAGTAATGGTTTGTTCTTTCCCACTGCTCACAAATTTCAAAGTGTGTAGTTAGTTTCACAGCTCCCTCAAATAGTGAAAAATAAGGTCTTTTTTCCCCTCTGATTATTTTTGTATCATTATGGACTATAGATTTTTTTGTTACAAATTCAATGACTTTCAATAAACTGCAATCAGAGGGTGCAAATGGTTGTTCAAATTGCCACAAATGTGGTCAGTGAAAGAATTCTTGAGCTGGGGATGCAGCTTAGTGGTGCAGCACCTACCTGGCAAGTGCAAGACCCTGAGTTTGATTCCAGTACCAAAACAAAAAGAGCTCTTGTTCTGGCTCCTGAGTGCTTTCTACAGGACTTCGTTCATCTTTGAAAGTCTCCTTGTTTGCATTTTTGAACACAAGATCTGGAACCTGGTTCTAAGAGAGAGAAGTGATAATGTGGGGACATTGTGTACTGGATATAATCTCAGTGGACAGAGTAAGAAAATGTATGCTTTTTAAAAACAGGAGTACCTATCGAGAATTTCCAATTTAGTTCTAGCATTAAAGTGTTTTTACTTAACTTCTTTAATTTTATACATTTATCTTTCTATATTTTACCCTACAACATAATAAAAAACACTTTTTAAAAATTAATTTTGTCAGTAAACTTTTGATGTACATAATAATAACGTTCATGAGATGGAATGTGTACCTGTACATGATATATCTTGATTCTTCTTTTTTTCCCCATTCTCCTCTCCTCCTGTCAACTCTCCTTCCCCTCTTTATCTACAAAAGCTTTGTTTCCATTTTTTCCTTCTATTTTCTTTTTTTCCTTTTCCCTTCCTTCCCTTTCCTCTCACCCTCCCTTGTTCCCCTTCCCATTTGAACATTTTCTTCCTACTTCCCATTCTGCTCCTTATTTACTTTTTCAATTTCTCACACAAGGGAAACAATGTGATTTTTAAACATGTGTATCTGATTTATTTCACTCAAAGGTATGGTCTCAAAGTGCATCCATTTACCTAAAAATGTCTCAAGTTTATTCTTCTTTGTGGCAGAGTAGTTCTCCATTGTATATAAAAACCACATTTTCTTTATCCATGCATCCATTGATGGCCATCTGGGCTGTTTCCAAGATTTAGCTATTACAAACTGTGCTGTTATAAACATGGCTATGTATGATATCACTGTGGTATGATGATTTTAACTCTTTCAGGAAGATACTAAAAAGGGGAATCACTGGATCAAATGGAACCTCTAGTTTCAATTTTTTGAGAAATCTCCATATTGATTACCATATTGGTTGTACCAATTTACACTCCCACAAACAGTGGAAAAAGGTTCCTTTTCCCCCCACACCCTTGCCAGCATTTGTTATTGGTTGATTTGTTGATGATACCCATTCTTTCTGTAGAGGTGGAATCTCAGTGTTGTTTTAATTTGCATTTCTTGAATATCCATGATGTCGAACATTCTTTCATATATTTGTTTGCTGCTTGTATTTCTTCATTTAAGAAGTGTCTATTTAAGATTGGGTCTTTAAATTTGTGGGGTCTTTTTTTAACTTCTTTGTATATTCTAGATATTAGTCCTTCTTCTGAGGAATAGCTGGTAAAAATTTTTTCCATTCTATGGGTTGTCTCTTCACTCATTTGGTGGTTTCTTTTGCTGTGCAAAAGCTTTTTAATATGATGAGATTTTAGCTGTTGATTCTTTATAATATTTCCTGTGTGACAAAGGTTTTGTTCATAAAGTCTTTCCCTACACCTATGTCTTCAAGAGTTTTACCTATTTTATTTTCCAACAGATTAAATGTTTCTGTTTCAATATTTAGATCTTTGATCCATTTCAATTTTAGTTTAGTGCCTGCTTATAAATTGTTTATGGTAGGTAGCGTTGTTACTAGTATTGAGTGTGAGACCAAGATAAACCTAAGAAATGCCATCTTAGCCTGAAGATGAACTTCCCTCATACCCCTCCTCTTACAGAGTGCATTTTTGTAACTGCTTGTTCTGCTTCTGTAAACTTGCTTCACTGCTTCTCAGAAAGGGATGGTGCCTGGTGCCTCCCTTTCCCATGAATTGCCCTAACCTAACAAGGCAGCAAGATAGCTGTGGTGAAAACTATTTTGCAACTAGTCAAAAAAACATGTTAACCTCCCCTTGAACTTCTCTTCTTTAAATAACACCTATAAAAGCTATGCTGTTACAACACCCTATAAAAACTGTGCTGTTCCTGGACTCAGGGCTTCACTTTGCTTAGGGAGTAGAGTCCACGCATATGAATAAATTCCTTTCAGTTTAACTTTGTCGTTGGTCCCAGTTTTGGTGATTTATCGGCTTACTTGGCACAATTTTGGAGGCCCCAGCAAGATCACCATCACTCGGTGACTTCTGTTCGGCAGATGGCCCCTGTCTCAGGCTGCTGTGGTCCGGGAGCCCTGGGGAGGCCACCCTGACCATTTGATCAGGGCCCTGGGGGCTCTGTTCTTGAGCAGAGAATTCGGGTCGGTCCAGCTGAGGGGAGTTTATCTGGAAAACCTTCAGAGGTCAGGTAAAAATCTTATGATTCTCAGTCAGTGGATCCAAAAGAAGGTGAAAGGGAAGTCAGACGCAACAGTAATTCCCCCGCCCAGGGCTTCATCATGACAATGGGAAGCCTTCTAGTCAGTTTACCCCTGGGTCTGGTTTGTCTAAATATTTATGGGTATAGTTTGTCTAAATATTTGTGCATCTGTTTTCTGTTGTTTGTCAGCTTGCTCTGTGTGCCTTTTTGCCTCCACTTGTCAACAGATCATGGGATCCGGACAATCTACCCTCTCAACCCCCCTTAAGTGTGTTTTACAACATTTCTCTCAAATTTATACCCCACAGAAAGCAGATGACTATGGCATCGAGTTCTCAAAAGGAAGACTACAGGCCCTATGTCAATTAGAGTGGCCATAATTTGGGGTGGGATGGCCAGGTGTGGGAAGTTTCAACATTCAGACTACCCAGCAGGTTTGGAACAGGGTCACAGGAAAGGGAGGGCCTCGCCATCCTGACCAGTTTCCTTATATTGATGTATGGATGGACCTCATAAAAGACCCTCCTCCCTCCCTTGATTGCCTGGGATTGAGACACAGGAGGTTTGTGGAAGATAAGTTTCACAACAGGTGAGGACAATCAGTTGTTCTTGTCACCAAGCCCCTTCCAAAGCATAAGGTTTTTCAGGCCCCGCAGGATGAGGATGACTTCTGGCCTTGCCCACCCCCTTATTGGGCTCACAGGGAAGGGCCTGAAGAAGACCCCGACTCTCCCTCTGATTCTACCCCCTGTGATTCCTCTGTCCCCTCTGTGCCGCCTGATTCCCTATCCCCTCCTCACACCCAGTCAGGACAGTCCTATGAGTCTCAGGGGGCAACCAGCCAGGTAACGTCCACTGTCCTTCCTTTGAAACAAGTTGAACCAGGTGGGGGATTCATCTATGTTCCTTTCACTACTAGTGACCTTTATAATTGGAAAAATCAAGTTGCTCCTTTTTCAGAAAAACCCCAGGCTTTAATTCATCTTTTAGAGTCTATTTTCCATACTCATCAGCCCACTTGGGACAACTGCCAACAGCTGCTTCACACCCTCTACTACAGAGGAGTGAGACCAGATTTTGCAAGAGGCTGTTAAGGTGGCCCTGGGACTAAACCCAGACCTTGGTCCTAGCACTCCGGTTTATCTGCAGAAAGCAGAGGCTGAGGTGCTGACCCACCGACTGGACTGGGACCCCAACACTGATGCAGGTAGAAGAGATCTGGCCAGTTACCACCAGCACCTTTTGCAGGGACTCCACCAAGTGGCTAGGAAGCCGACTAATCTGACTAAGGCGAGTGAAGTAAAACAGGATAAGACGGAGTCTCCCTCGGCTTTCTTGGAGCACCTTCTAGAGGCATATCGGGTCTATCCACCCATTAATCCTGATGCTCCAGAAAACACAGCCTCAATAAATCTGGCCTTTGTGTCACAGTCAGCCCTAGATATTAGACAAAAAAACTTCAGAGATTGGAAGGATTTGAGGGAAAAAACAGGTCCAAGCTCCTGAGTATAGCTCAAAAGGTTTTTGACAACCAGGACTCCCCGGAAGAGAAAATTGCCAAGCAGCTAAAAAAAGTTACTATTGCTGCTCTCAAAAGCTATGAGACAAGCAAGCAGACTGGGAGATCTAAGTCGGAGTGACCCCTGCGGCCTAGGCTCAGAAGGGACCAATGTGCCTATTGCAAACAGACTGGACATTGGAAAAATAAGTGCCCCCTCAAGAAGGAAAAAGAGGGACAGAACCAGAAAAAGATGCAGGAGGTCCTGACCTTTGAAGAAATGGAATAGGGAAGTCAGGGCTCATTCAAACTGAGCCCCTGCGAGCCTATGGTAAAAGTAAAAGTCAGGGGCACTACAACCAGTTTCCTAGTAGATATGGGGCAGCCCATTCGGTACTAACAAAACCTTTAGGAAAATTGACAACACAAAAGACTTTGGTACAGGGGGCTACCAGCAAGGGAGTTCAAGGTTTTAAATGGACAACTGCATGAATGGTAGACTTGGGTCACAGGCAAGTGACCCACTCCTTTTTGGTGATTCCAGAGTGTCCATACCCCTTGCTTGGTAGGGACCTGCTAAGAAAATTGAGTATAACAATTACCTTTGCAGAGGAAAAGGCAGACCTAAAACTAGGCATCCCACAGGGGACTGTCAAAGTTATGGTGACTCGCCCATTGGCTTCTGAATACCTGATGCTCTCTGAGCCAGAGGACAAGTGAGCTGGGCAGATTGGTGGTCTACAGATGAAGTTTCCCCTTGTGTGGGCTGAAACAAATCCCCCTGGATTAGCAAGCCATCAAGTTCCTATAGAGGTCAGTCTAAAATCCAATGCCCAGCCCGTTTCTGTTCGACAGTATCCCATCAAAAAGGAGGCAAGAGAAAGGATTTGGACACACATCAACCAACTCCTGGATGCTGGAATCCTAAGGCTATGCCAACCGCCATGGAACACCCCACTCCTGTCTGTCCAAAAGCCTGGTACTTCTGACTACAGGCCTGTCCAAGACCTCCAAGAGGTAAACAAAAGAACTGAGACTGTACACCCCACTGTACCAAATCCCTACACCCTGCTGAGCCTCCTGCCCCTGCAACAACAAGTCTACACTGTGCTGGACCTCAAAGATGCCTTCTTCAGTCTGCCATTGGCCAAGGTGAGTCAGCCCCTTTTTGCCTTCGAATGGGTGGATCCCAAAGGAGGGTACTCAGGACAGCTGACCTGGACAAGATTGCCACAAGGGTTCAAAAATGCTCCCACCCTGTTTGATGAGGCTCTAAATAAGGACTTGGCTCCGTTCAGAGCATCTCATCCTGAAGTGACTCTTCTCCAGTATGTAGATGACCTCCTAGTAGCGGCTGATGATCAGGACA